GTCATGCCGGCCACATGACCACGGAGACGTCTTCGGACAGCGCTGGCTCTTCAGCTTTGAAACGGAGATGAGCACCGCAACCCTAAAGTCGGACTCGACTGGCTTTTGAGCAAGGGAAACCTTTATCTTTAGGCAAGAGGGGTTCAGAGGCGGGGTTGCCATGGCCTGCCTCTGCCTAGCGACCCTGGTTTCCCCTGGAGGTCTCCCATCCAACTACTAACCAGGGCCAACCCTGCTTAGCTTCTGAGATCTGATAAGAACAGGCTACCCAGGGCAGGGCCAAGTCGAACTACTACACCAAGCATTTTGAGACAGTATACACTGGGTGCTGTGCCAGAGGGGACTAACCCCTCAAAGAAAATACTAGCAGATCAGGGAGAAAGGTTCTAACCACCACCACCGCCATCCCATTCCCTGTGGTGCCGGTTTTCTACATTCAAGGAGTTGCGTGCATGTTTTTCAGGCTGGAAACAGAGCAAGCTCCAGACCAAATTATAGTTATTTAGCCAAAGGGATTGGATTCATACCCCGCCCATCACTACCTGAAGGAGTCTCAGAGCGGCTTATAATCTCCTGTCCCTCCCTCTCCCCACAAGATACTCTGTGAGGCAGGTGGGGCTGAGAGCGCTCTTTCGAGGACTGCTCTTGAGAGAACAGCTCTGAGGGAACTTGTGACTGATCCAAGGTCACACCAGCAGCTGCTGCATGTAGAGGAGTGGGGAATCAAACCCGGCTCTCCCAGATTAGAGTCCACGCTTCTAACCACTACGCCAAACTGGCTGTCAGGTTGAGAGTGCATGACTTGGTCCCAAGGTCACCCAGCGAGCTTCCGTGACAGAGTGGGGATTCGAACCCTAGTTGCTTATCATCACTGTCCCCCCCAACAATCCCACAAAGGCTCAGAGCCATTCCAGTATTTAAGGTAAGGGTCAGGTGCCACTGCAGGGATGCAGCGGAGCCGCCCTCTCCCCCCGGAGACCTGTTGGGGTTTCTGTCGCCGGAAAACTGTTTAAATATGCAGGAAAATCTATGTTTGTAAAAAGGAAACCTTCCTTTGCTTCCCTAAAAGGACTGATGAGGATTGAGCACACTCAGTGCCCATGCTGGGAATGTTGAGAGCAGTTCTGTTGAGGTGTCAGGGCAGGGGCCAGCTCTGAGAAATCCTGCTGGGGGGGGACAAGAACACATCCCAACTCTCCCAGTGAGCACTGAGAGGGGGCAGCTGAGGTTACCTTAACGCGCACGTTGTCCCGATTGCTTAGCGTCCTCCGGCAATCCCTCTAAAGCCCCCCCCCCCACTAACGTGATGCCATCGTTCCATTTCGCAAGCTGCTCCTCAGACGAGGAAACGGGAGTCACGGCAAGCTCCACGCAGGCGGACAAAGATTTCCCGGACACAATATTGCAAAGGATCTCCACCTGGCAGCGCAGCAGCTCTTACCTAGGAACTCGACGCTTGCCCGGGATGGCAAATGTCTGGCGCAGGGAGATGGCCAGTGGCTTGCGGACACTGCCCAACTCATTGTGGGGGTCAGGCCCAGGAGGCGTTGATGGTCCTATTGTGCCACTAAGGTGCCTGCTGCACTCTGCCCACGAAAAACACAGTTATCTTGGTGACCCCTTCTTCCGGCCTGGCTGAGTCTTGTGCGAGCTGCCGGAAACCAGTGGCTGGAGCCCTCTGGGAGAGCCACGCAGCTTTTGAGAAGAGCGAGAGTCCAGCAGCACCTTAAGGACTAATAAAAATCGTGGCAGGGTAGGGGCTTCCGTGAGTCGCTGCTCACTTCTTCAGATACAGCGAGAACTGCTTCGGGCTCTCCTGTCAAATGTCACCTGCTGTGCATTTGG